ACCGAGACACACACTGGATTAACATCTTTTAATGGCTGTTATGGGACCTGATGAAGCAAGGGATCGATAGAGTGGAGAGTGGCCCCTCGCTCCTGCCCTGAGCAGGATTAGAGAGGGCCCCAGTCCCATCTAACACAATACAAACAGAGGAGGGGGGTTGAAGGTTCCACCGATCGTAAATAGACCTTGACTAAAGCCCAGACACAACATCAGCCGACCCAGACCAGAGGCAGCGTCCAACAGGCATGCAGCCACAGAGAGGACAGGAAGTGGCTTTTCTTCAGAGCCGCGAGACGGGGCCCTGTGTACATATGTTTTTACCCAGCACGTCTGCATGTTGCTCGCCTGCCGCTGTCAAAGGAATTATCCACCCTCTCAGTCTGTTCATGAAGGAATTCCCAATGATGTGCGTTCACTCTGGTCTTTGTCAGGAGCAGCTTGGGAATGAATAACAGACAGGATTAGAGGGAGAAGGGAGAGAAAGAGAGGGACTGGGGCTCTGCCAGTCAGATAAAGTCCTTCTCTTTCTCCATGAGGAATTATTTTTTAGCTTTCATCTGAGCTTACTTGTAGAAAGAGAGGACAGACTATAAATATGAATAGAAGGACTTCTTTTAGAACACAGGCTTGGTTGGAATCTGCTCCACACTCCACACAGACCTGATTTTAAAAATATGTTGGTCAGTAAAAGTTATTTTCCCAATCTAGAATAATTATTGCCTTGGAAAGTTGTCAATTTTCAAAATTACATTTTTAAATTTCAAATTTCCAAGTTAGTGTCATAAACAGGTATTAAAAACAAGGTGCAAGGTATTTGCCCATCCACTTTGACTGTGTTTGAGCACCAAGCATCATCTGTGTAAACAAAGAGTCTGCCTCCTCTTGTGCTTGAACACAGTCTGTCCATGGACCATCTGGGATGTTGATGGAGCAGGTCTCTGTAAACATGAGGGCACAACAGTCTGATTTCCTGTGGTTTGACCAGCCTGAGTCCCATTTCATCCAGACTGAACATTAGCCAGGAGCAGCCTTAAGTCCAAGCTGGGCCAGCATGGCTCCTATGCAGCTCTCTTCCTCTCCTCCTGGGGCATTTACAGCACTTGCTGTGGTGGGCTGGTCCTGTGAATCTGGCAGGGTGGATCGTCTCAAGGTCCGCTGCTGTTTAATTTTCTTTTTTTGTCTTTGTCTCAATCAGACATCATTGAATGATGATTCAGCAATAAAGCTGGGGGAAAAAAACGGTTAAAACTAAAATGTAGCAAGTTTGAAGTACCTGCATGCACAGCCGTTGCCATAGCAATGAGCGGTTATTTGAGCATGAGTCACAGAACTACTGTCTCCGAACATCAATCCTGGTCTCAAAAGAGCACAAAGAGAACGAAACAACAAGCTGCGTAAGTGAAACATTTTAACACACAACAGCCACTACTTCTAACATGATTCACAATGTTGTTTTGTTCACTTAAAGCGATAGAAGGAGGAAGACTTAAAGTACAATGAGTGCATCAGTAGTGTAAGTTTTATTTTGTGGATGACAAGTGATTCCAAGTAATCACAGGACAAAGGTCAGAGTCAATGAATAAGTTCCTATATTGCCAGCATGACCCTAGAAGAGAGAAGTGGTAGCAGAGGTGTGGACTGCAGGGACGGATCTAGAGAAATAATAATGTGGTGGCCGGAGGGTGGCATGGAGACTTTAAGGCAGTGGTTATGGATTGTAGTGGTTTTTATTGATATTTCATATTATATTCAATCAATAACAATAACAGTACATCTAATAAACTGTACAATTTAGCCCAAATAGCAAACACAATAACTGCAGGTAGTTTGTGTCAAACGCCTGTTTAGATGAATTTTGAGCAGATTAGTTTTTTTACTTTTAACTTTTTATATTATGTTTTTTGACGAATTCAGTATTTTCTTCTCATTGTTCTCTTAACTCTTTGGTTGTTTTAGTGGTATACTTTTCTAATGCAGTATGAGGCTGTTTTTTTTGTTTTTTTTTATGAATATAGCTTGTGTTCAGGTCTTCAAAGTTTGGATCTTAAATAATAATCTGAACTTTAAAATAGTTTTCTTCACATAAATGAATGAAATGCTGAGATACAAGCCTACTGTGTATATTGTTTCAGTTTTCTTACACCCTTAAAATCAAGAAGGCTTTTCCACCCCCCATGAAGTTTGGCGACCCCTTTAAGGGGTGGCAGAAATATATGCATAAACATATATCAATATCTACTTGGAAATGCACCAAATTAAAAGATTTGAACTCAAAAACATTATTGTGTCACATTAGTAAAGCACTGAATAGAAATATCTAAAGGTGGCATTAGAAATCAATACATTGTTTTATTTCTAAATCTTCAATGTTTTCAAAATACATGTCTATTTTCATTGAACTTAAGCTGTTATTGCTGTTTTTAATATGTGGTCATAACAGGTCATTACATTAATTTCTAATTAAATTAAAAAACATCTAAATTAATGTGTTCAATGTGACAGCATTTGACACGGAGGCATCAGCTGGGTGTTTTTTGCCATCCCTTGCCACCCTTCTAGATCCACCCCTGGACACATGACACATGACTTGGACTTGACTTGACAAAATCAAAAAAGAGGTGGGTGGTCATCTGCCTCGACCAGTTGGGGTGAGAGAGAGAGAGGGAGAGAGAGAGAGACAGACACAGACAGACAGACAGAGGTACACAGCAACAACAGTAGCAACAACTACACTAATAGTAGTGACTGATGATGATGAACATGAAGAAGATGATGAGGACGACAACAACGGTGGGGCACAATGAACAGTGACCACAGCAATAAGAGTAACTGTAGCAACAATAATACTAATAATAATAACAATAATATCAGTGATATTAGCAATGGCAGTCAAGCAGGACCATGGCAGGAGGCTCCACCAGGATCCATGAGAACCTGCGAGACGAGAAAGCACAAGAACTCCGGGGAAGAAGTGAAGTTAGTAACATGCATTAATGGGACCGAACCACAACTGGAAGCTGGTTCCACAGGAGAGGAGCTTGGTAACTGAAGGCTCTGGCTCCTGTTCTACTTTTAGAGACTATAAGAAAAAGGCTTGCAACTCAACTTGAACTTGAACACCAATGACTTGTGACTTGATTTGGACTTGAGCCTTTTGACTTGAAAATCTAATTTTTCCATACCACAGGCTCCATTTTGGCCATTGTACAACAATGATCTAAAGTTTAAAGTGTTAAGGGTTCCCTCCCCGACTTGTATGATGTTCACCCAAAACAAATGATGAAATGCAGCTATGTACATTATGGGAAAAATAATATGTTTTCCAACATTATTAGAAACTTTAAAATGAAACAGTATTAACGTTAGAAACATTAGCAATTGTAAAAATATACAGTATTAACAGGGAAGCCACTTTGAAGCTAACTTTAATGGATGTTGAAGTTTTCTTATGACTGAAATTCCAATATTATCTAATGGATTTGCAATGAAGGCACATAAAACAAAAGAAAATGCACTGTAGGCAGCAAAAGGACATTAAAATCAATTGTAAATGTATGTTTTTATATTGTTTGTCTCTCTGTTTGTCCATACTTGCCATAAGATTAAGATTCCCAGTCTTGCCTAGATGAACAACACAGTCTCATGTCCTTCCTCATATGGTACGGTGTTGCCCTCAGGCAACACACCCATTTTTGGCCTGTCAAATCTTCATCATTTCCTGGAACTTTTCCATCTGGAAAAAAATATATTCACACTAAAAAGTGACTGGAGCGGCTGTGGCTCAGAGGAAGAGCGGGTTGTCCACTAATCGGAAGGTTGTTGGTTCGTTCCCTGGCTCCTGCCATGTGTCCATGTGTCGAAGTATCCATGAGCAAGATACTGAACCCCAAATTGCTCCATGTGTATGAACACATTGTTTCTGGGCTTTGCCATCACTGTGTGAATGTGTGTGAAAGGGTGAATGTGGCACGTAGTGTAAAAGTGCTTTGAGTGGTCAGAAGACTAGAAAGGCGCTATACAAGTACCGGCCCATTTACGATATCAAAATGTGTCACCTAGCTGTGCTTCACTCCTGAAAAAAACTGCTTCATGGAGTTCAATAAGCACTGAGCAGCAACACCACAAATGATGGCAACGCATGTCAGGAAAGACACAGGGGACTGATAGGAATCATGCATTGAAATGAAGGAGCGATGATCAAACACTGGAATCTGACACCAGTTTCTTGTTTTGCAAATGGTTATGATCTTTGTTTTGATAAGTAGTTCATTTAAAGTTTGAAGAATTACGCTTAGACTCTTCATTCATTTCAGTGGGTTGTTCCACAATGGTACAATGTTGCCTACAGGCAACGTTAGGACAAGTAACCCTTTAAGATAGTTCCTTTTATAATATTTTTCAATTTAAAATGGCATCTATTGTAACCTGTTGACACTATTGAATCTTTTAAACATGTTTATGAAATAAATGATGTTCAAATTGAAAAAAAAAAAAAAAACACTCTAGCACCATTACGATACAATGTTGCCTACAGGCAACAAACCCCCCAAAATTATTTTGTTTTTATAAAATTTCTTTAGATTATGTTTATTTAGTCTATTTTAAGTAATAAAAACACTCCAAACTTTTTTTTCCTAACTGGCATCATGATGTGTGATCTCGGTCTTGCCTAGATGAACAACACAGTCTCATGTCCTTCCTCATCTGTGGTGGCGCCTTCAGACTTCACCAGCCAACATTACCATAGAAGCTGGGAGGCCACTGAAAGGCTCGCTCTGTTGCCCGCCTGGTAGCCCCCTAACGGGATTAAGGGGGGATGTGGTGAGGTGGTGCTCCTGCTCGGTGTAACTCACTCTGATGTGATTTCCATTTGTCTGGCCTGGCCTTTACTTTCCCCTCTGTCTAATCCTTCACTCTTCTCACCGCCGCCCGTCAGCCACGCTAATCTGCTGGCAGGCTTTAAGAGGAGAGGCTTCCACACACACACTCTCTCTGGTAAATACAGGAGCACAGGGGCTGTTTTTACACTGTATGGGAACACACACCATCACACAGTGTTTGTGGATATCAAACTGATGGTAAGACCACTGTTAGGAATTGACTTGTTACTTTATACAAGGTGTTTTTTGAAGTCTATAGGCTGTCATTAGCTCTATTGTATGTGATTGTATGTGGCTCTGCAACAGTTTAGTGTTATGTTGCATGTGTCACTGCTTGTGTGTTTGTGATGAACAGTTTGATATCATGCATATTATTTCAAGCAAGGTAAGCAGTATGTTGCAACAGCCCTGTCTTGTTTTTAACAATAATGTAGTTTGTAATGTAAACTCTAGTGCGACTGTTATGAGTGGGCGACACCTCACTGTTGAGTCTGTTACATTAGACACAGGTAAGATAAAATCTGCCAATGCAATTATATTTTCCAGAAATGATTGTTGGTATCTTAGAGGATAATACAGGTTGCCCTCACTAGTATTTAACCTATACCAAGTTTATTTTTATTGGAAATAGGTTGAACATTGTTTTACTGCGCTGACAAATTGTTTTACTTGTTTTAAGAAAATAAACGTAATAGAGCTGCAGCAATTAGTTGAAAAATTGGTTAGCTGTCAACTACTAAATTAATTGCCAACCATTTTTATTTCATAATTTTGAGTCACTTCTTCAGATTTTTTTTCCAAATTCTCTGATTTCAGCTTCTTAAATGTGTTCTGCTTTTTTAGTCCTCTATGACAGTAAACTAAATATCTTTGGGTTGTGGACAAACAGGACATTAGAGGATGTCACCTTGGGAGTTGGGAAACAGTCAAATACTTTTTTCACAATTTTCTAACATTTTAAAGACCAAACAACTAATTGATCGAAAATGATCAGCAGTCCGTCTCTTTTGCTTGATAAATGCTCTACTATGTTCACCAGCTAGTCTCTGAAGGTGTCTGTCTGCTGTTTGCTGCTGGTGTTTTCATGATGTTATAAGAGTGGGATACAATAGTGAAGTTATGGGCCTTAAAACCAGAATAATTTATCAGTTTGCTTCTCTGTCTGTGGTTTGCTTCTAGTAGCAGAGTTGTTTTATTAGAGATTTCACTGATGTTGACAAGAGCAGTTAGACTGAATAAAACTGGGAAAAGTTGTTGCAGGTCAAAATGAGTTAAAAGGCTTCATACAGTTGAGGGGGACTGCTGGGGTGGTGATAATTCTCTGTGCATTCAACACTACATTTGAAACCTTTCACATTATACATTGTCATTTAAAACATTGTTAATATGAATAATGATGGTGCAGCACTTCAACTGGCACCGGTTCTGGTTAGTTCTAATCAAATATTTCCTGATTTGAATAGATATAAAACTAACAACCTCTCAAGTCTCAGATGGAGTTTCAATGTGTAACTATTTCTTAGCACAACAACTTTGGTGTGGTACCACTAGTGTTGGGTGCAATTACTCTGAAATTTAGTTAATGAATACATATAACAATTAGATTACATGACAGATGTAATCTAATCTGAATACCCTAACCCTAACCCTAATAAAATGTTGAAAGAGTTCCACAAAATATCATTTTCTTCTCTTTAAAAGTGCAGTGTGTAACATTAGGGGTCCAATAGTAGAAATTTAAAGTAAAAGTAAAGTTTTGCAACCAACATAGATTCTCTTACACGCTCTGAAACTGTTGTTTGTGAATGCATACTTCAGCATGTAACTCCCCCTAGAACCCTAAACTGTCAGTTCTAAATTTCTCTTTGTGGCCAGATTTAACAAACAGGATACAATGTGTTAATTAGAGAGTTTAGAGATGTAGGTAGGTGAATTTCTTCACCTGGGACAGATCCAGATTCTGTTCCTCCAGTCATCATGCTAAGCAGGGAAACTATGTCTGGACTCCAGTTTAAAACAGACATTAGAATTGATACCAATCTCCTCATCTCACTCTCAGAAAGAAAGATAATAAGCATATTTCCCCCCAATTTTTAAAATCTTAATTTGAATCCTAATTTAGTTTGTCGTGTACTATGCATATACTTTGGGTATGTATTCCCTCTCACCCCCTCAAATACCTGGCTTTATTATGTGCATTTATTTTCACTTTTTGCAGTAGAATGTTGGCACATAGTTTTGTGCCTCTACAACCTGTCAGATAAAGAAGCTACAAGCTCCACTCCACACCTCTCCAAGAGACGAGGGACAGCAGCCAGCTGGCCCTGAACTCACCATACCTCCTGCTTTAACAGGAGCAATCACATCTCATCAGAGATGCTCACTCTCCACAAAGCTGAGGCTTGCATCTGTTAGCTGTTATCTTAGCCAGACAATGTACTGTATCAAGGGTTATTATCAAGACAAGGACAGCAATGACGTAGACATACTGAACATGCTCTCAAAGATGCACAGCTCTGGGTAGGACACGTCTCACTGCTACTTTCTGCTGCTGTGCATTAGGGGTAGGTGGATGTTTTATTTACATCATTATGGTATGTTTTTTGTTGTGACCTTTTAGGAAACTTTTATGCTGCACATGGTAAACATAATACATGGTGTCCATGGTCAGGATAATACATCCACACAGAGAACTATTCCGAATGAAATGTTTAGAAATCTAATACCATGTAGATTTAAACATAGCAGAAATGACAAATTGATGTTTTGGTCGAACACTCTTCTTCATTTTGATCTTTTGCACATTTAACTCTATAAACTGTATTAAAGAAGCTGTGCAAATACATCTACTGATGCTACTGGACACATCTTCAGTGATGTTCCTGGAATCATCGGGTGTTTCGGGTCTTTCAACATCATACACCCTCATCCAGGTGACCCAGCTGGGGCTGATCAGACCCCAGCTTGTGTCCAGTTGGCGAATCTAGCTACTCTGCCCCCATGGATCTCCTCTCTTGAGCCTTGGCCATCTTGAGGCTTTCTCTGCCGCTTCAGTGGTATTGTGGATGGCTTTTCTCCTCCTCACTCCATCGATGCCTAACAGACTGAAGGCTCTGAACAGGGATCGGGCTGTAAAGCCCCTGCATCCGACCTCTATTGGGAGACACCTTGCTCTCCATCCGGCTTGTCGACGGCCAGTCCCTCGTACTTGGCGTGCTTCCTTTCAAAGGCCTCTTCCAGGCGGTCTTCCCAAGGGACTGTTAGACAAGAGAACGACATCTGGTCTTAAGGTGGTGGTCACAATGTGGTTGGGGAACTTAAGCTGTTGCTCCACCAACAGCTGCCAGTCCCTCGCAGTGGCCAGGATGCCTGCAGATGTTTTTTCTTCTCCCATCGCATCCAGGCACCCTGTTGCCTCATTCCCACTGTCCTGCAGGTTCTCTCCTCCTCGACCACTGCTCTCACCTCCTCCTGGACTAGGCGGCGCCTTTCCTTCCCTTTGGTGGTGTCAATGTGGGGAGGTGAGAAGGAACCTAGTCCAGCCCTGCCTCTTGTTACCACTCCAACCAGCCTGTTGTGATGTAATCTTGCCTCTGCTTGTCGACCAGTAATTCCAGCATTTGCCACCACTGGATCGCTTGAGTCTCTATATTGCAACACTTCCCTGGCTCTCGTTACCTTGAACTCCTCTTCCAAGGACTTGAGTGGCAGTTGCAGTTTGTTGCAGTGCCCACAGAGTGCGATGCTGCTTAGCAATCTGTTATTATATTTACTCGGTGCCTGAAATGTAGTACTGGTGCTTCTGATTTATCTCACAAGTACCCTTACATCTTATTGCATACCATATAACCGTGGGGTGGCTGTGGATCAGGAGGTAGAGTGTCAGTCGTTCACTAATCAGAAGGTTGATGGTTCGATCCCCGGCTCCCTCTGCATGTCGAATTATCCTTGGGCAAGATGCTGCACCCCAAACTGCTCCACATTGGTGTGTGAATGAGTTTGTGTCTGATGGGAAGTCTGGAACCTTGCATGGCAGTGTGTGAATGTGATATGTAGTGTAAAGTTTTTTGAGTGGTTGGAAGACTAGAAAGGCGCTATATAAGTTCATGCTGTTAATTTACCATCTTGGTAAGTCTAGGCACACACTCCACTTGGTTGGTGAGGTGTAGACATGAGGAGTGAGATGGTTAATGTCAGGGTCAAGCCCAATCAGAAACACAGTACAAGTGGGTTTTAGTGGCATACATATGGGTAAAAAATGGCTACATAACTAAGTCTCTGTAACAGTGTGTTGAAACAGTGCTGACAATGTTGTTAAAATGGATAAAACATGGGTTGTGTTGCGTTTAGGGTTAGGGTTGTGCTTGATTAGGGAACTGACACATTTTTTTTGGTCCAATTTAGGCACTGTGTTTACCACAGATTTCACCATCAACCGGCCAAGGCAGTCTTAAAAGGAAATTTTTCCTTGCCGCTGTCGCAAAGTGCTTGCTTACGGTGGGAATTGTTGGTTCTCTGTTCTCTGAAAAAAAAAAGTGTCCTGAGATAACTTCTGTTATGATGTGGCTCTAGATACATGTATAGTCATATGTAACACCAAGGGGTTTGGCCTATTCTGTAGATGAATAACAACATTTATATTTTTTAATCTTTGTTGAACACATTTGAAAATAAGGGAGGAAAACAGGTCTAAACTGTCAAACATTATTGATGGAAACAACCCTTTAACAGCATCATAAAATATGAATAACTTATAGATATAGTTCTTGTTTACACCGTTAGTCCCTGTATGAAAACTCTGTGTTTGGAGCAGTTTGGATCATGAACTGCTAAGTTGACAATTTTGCTCAAAATATAATATATATAATAATTTTCCCACATTTAGTAAATTTGTAAAATAGCGCTGCTTTTGCCATAGACATTCATATATTCATCATGCGTTATTCATGATGAATGTATGATAACATTGTGTCTATCGAATTGAACAGGTTTGTGCCTGTCTGTCTTTGTGTCTACTACACAGATGTGAGGTTCCTGACATGAGTGAATGGCCCCTGATATAGCAGACATGACAGCAGAGGAACCCCTGGGCCCATGGGTGTCCAGCCCTGTGGGGGACGTCAAGTTAATGCCTGAACACGGGCTGGAGAAGGAACTCAACTGCTGCAACCAGGAAGTAATGCACCATCACACAGACATGCCCACTGAGGAATGTTCAGCAAACACTGACAGGTAACGTAAAGGCTCAGCAGGGAGGAAACAGCACTCATACCTATGTTCTGTAGAGATTTACTGCAACTCTATACACAATACCTCTGGGAAAGTATGTATGGTTCCATCTTCTGAAGGTTTAACATAAGTTAAATACAGATAGTTGCTCAACCTTGTTTGGGTCAGCACCCCCCTATCTATAATTTAGATCCCTTACTGGCCTTAATACAATGTCCGCTAATTGTCTTTCCTGAATATTAATGTTGATTATTATTCTTGTAATTATTATGATTATGTTTTATATTATTTACTATTTATTTATAAGATTAATATTATTATGGACTTCAATTCCATGTTTTCTAATCATATAACACAGAATAATAATAATATAAATAAACAATATAAAAAAGAATAATAATAAACAGAATAAGAAACATTAATCAAAGAAGGTTGGGAACCACCGTTACCACTGACTCGCTTCCAGCTATTACATCTGTTTTGCGCCTTTCTGAATTCATGTTGTGGCTTTTGGTTTGTTTGACACCTATGGGCCACCGTCGTACAGCACAGAAACACATATTCACTTACTGTGGTCCTGTCTAACTATTCAGAAGGTTTAGATTGAGTCTTATATTTCTCAGATACTAATGGTTCAGTTATATATAAAAAAAAACAGCCATCCTCCATTCCTGGATGTAAACTAGATGTATTGAATGTATTGCATAGAGGTGGTTCTCAAACTTTTTGCTATCAGGGTCCCCCAAATTGATACACATCACCCCTGTATTTAGCACTATGTGATAAGTTAACAGTGAAGAGTGTGAAATCTATGAACAGTAACAATAGTCATTTTTATACATTCTGTTATTGAGCTAAGTTCTAGTCAATGAAATAATAGTGAAATTGAAATATTCTTGGAACGTCTGGAACCCCCTCAAAGAAATGAAATCTGCTGGATAGAGGACTAGTTATTTGTGACTTGAACAGATTGAAATTTGTGTATCCGTTGTTAAAGGGATCTAGGACCATGTTGGTTTTGTTGTTATTACTATCACTGTTTACTGTAAATGGTCTGAGAGGATAAAAAAGTGAATGACACTTAAACTAAACTATTGGTCAATTGGTAAGAATTCATTTTTTATTTGGTCAATATCTCACTGTAATTTGATAATTTGATTCTGCAATTCATTGAAATTTTGTCTTTTCTTATTCCTAACTCTCCTTATGACATTATTTATATAATATGTATAAATATGTATGCATGGATGGATGGATGTGTGTGTGTAACCTTTAAGGAAAAAGGTTGGGAACCACTGTTCTTAAATTGGAGGCCTTGAGTGTTTCTGTTTGGGGTCAGTGACATGAAAATGTATTTGAAGCCTTCTCATAAAACTACCATCAAAACACTAGTATAGAAAATGTTGACGGCATTCACACTCCACTATCCTCTGACATGACTCTTGTCTCTTAGTGCCAGTCTGTGCAGCGAGGAGCTGTTCTGTAGGATCTGCCACGAAGACAGGGACTCAGGGGAGCTGCTGTCCCCCTGCAAGTGTTGCGGTAGCTTGGCCATGGTGCACCGGGCCTGCCTGGAGCACTGGCTCACTGCCTCTAACAGCAGCCACTGTGAACTCTGCCACCACCAGTTTGCACTGGAGCGCCTGCCAAAACCTCTAACTGAGGTAGGCCCTTGCATTACACTTGTCTGTGACAATGTAGCTTTTCAACACACTGCTTCTCAGCATTCAATTGACCCTTCCTACGTCCTGGTCCTTTTGGAACCTCGATCAACTTTCTTCTTTCCTGTTCTTAGATATGCTATGTGCTAGGCTAATCTATGTTGAAAAAACAACCACATTTTGAAGATCAGTTTTTACTACCATGAAATTGTCGGGTCTCTGTAAATAATACAGTAATAATACGGAATAGGCCTTCTCTATATGGAAAGTGTTCTGAGATCATTTCTGTTATGATTTGGCACTATACAAACAAAACTTAATTGAACTGGCGAGTTGCTGCCTTCACGTTGGTGACCATGATGCCGTTAGCCAGATCACTTGTACCCCTAAAGCCACTTAGCCTGAGAGCCAGATTAGATGGTGTTTCCCTCCCTTGCTGTTCTGTAGAGGACAGCACAGGGGAGTGTATTAGTGGCCTCCTCGTCTTCCTGCTCCTCCTGTGTGGTCACAGCCAGTAATCTGCTGATTAAGTACCATGTGCTCCGCCAGGTTAAGCTACACAGTAAGCAGCATAAGCCTGCTGTCAGGCAATGCCGGACACATGCACACACATGCGCATAAACACAGTCAATGCTTTACATTAGTGATGTAGTACATAGGGAGGTGCTAGTCTTCTCTATATAAATAGCAAGCATGGTACACTCACCCAGGTGATTTCACTTATTCTGGCTGATTAGACATCTTCAATGTGTCCTGTTAGCTTTGTTGCACCTGTTTGACTGGGACCTCGGCTTTATTAAAACAGTCCAGTGAACTAACTTCTGCCAACCTTCAAGAGCAGTGGTTGTCAAAGTTACCTGCTTTTAAATATTTTGCCCTGCACCATAAGTGTCTGATTTACCGTATTAGAGACGGCATTGAAGTTGCATTGAACTTATATTGTTTTGATAGATGCACAATAATAATAATAATAATAATAATTTAATGAGAAACATGAGCTTGTGCTTCACTGACGATCTTTGTCATTATCTGTGGCAGGGAGGCAACTGCATCACTTTTTACATATTCATATTGCATATTATTCTTGAAAGATAAGTGAATATGATCTAAAATGCTGGCAGCGGCTGGCAACTTCAAAATAATACTCAGGAAGTGTTAATAAATCAGACACTGGTGGCACAGTGCAGTATTTAAGCCCTTTATATTTTTCAATATTCCTATTTTCAATGCAAGCCTTAACTGCAGTTAAATAACAGCGCTTCTATTTTTATTTAAAAAGCATCACTAACTAAGATAATGGTGCTTCATGGTGCTAATGGTGTTAAAGCTTCCCAGTACAACCACAGTCTGATGTGCTCCCACTGAGAAGATCTACTGAAGCAGGGCATCATACAAAAAACAAACTAACACTGCCAGTCTCTTGTAGAACATTGTTAAATGGACTGTACTTGTTGTATTACTGTAATTATTGATCTCTTGACCTCAGTATTTCTAAAATCCTGGTTATTAAAGAAGTTATTTTTAAGTTTAAGTTTTTCTTTTACATGTGACAGTGTTACACAACCGTTAAGTATTGTTATGTATCTATATTTAGTTTTTCCAACCATATGACCTGCTGGGTATCACCTATTTATAGTACATGCACTTACTGTACATTCAAGTTCCTAAAAGATTTATAGTATTTGTTCACTAGATATTTGAAGGTTTTTAATACTACTTACTGCCACCACTAACACAAACTGCATGCAACAGTTCAAAGGATCCAAGCATTTAGTACCACCTTCTGGCCAAATGCCTCATTCTCCACCCCAGGTGTTCTATCTGTAGATGTCCACATTTCTGACGCCGATACCTTGCCGACCACCATAATCTTGATTTTAACTGGTGTGCTCTTAACCAGCCTTCACCCTCCTTCTCCTTCCCTCCCTCCAGTGGTTGTGTTCTCCATCCATGCAGCACCAGAGGAGGACACTGTGTGGTGATGTGGTATGTTTCCTGTTCATCACACCACTGGCCAGCCTGTCTGGATGGCTGTGTGTTCAAGGAGCCATGGACCTATACTACACCAACGGCATGGAGGCCCTGGGGCTCCTGGTCCTCACACTGGCCCTCTTTACCATATATGTCTTCTGGACCATGGTATGCTGCTTATTCAGACATGTTGTGCTTATCTAACTTTCCCTAACATTAAATGCAATCCAGCCAAGTGTAAAGCCCAAGCAATGAGCTGAAAGGTGTGAACTATAGTGCACTGTACAGCTGAGGGGAATTGCAGAGTTGGATTTGGTTGTTAACATGAAAGTATTGGTAAGGTTGTCACGATACTAGAATTTTAAACTTCTAAGCAATACATGTATAAACGATACCTGATACCTTTTTAAATATCACAACAAATATGGAAAAAGTGGCCTTCACGCAGTGCTGGTACAGAAAAAAGATTTTGATTGTCTTCTCCACAATTTCATCTGCAGCTTTAGGTTGAAAATCTGATGTAGATCTGTTTTTTAAAGGTGTAGTACTGAATGGTATTGTTTCTAACAAGTGGTCTCGAAAAAGTATTGAAGTATCAATAGTTTTGACAGCCTTGCTGCAAAGAGTTTTTAACTGGTTATGGAACTGTGTGTTTAATATTGTAGCCTCTATATGACCTACATGAACAAACAAGACCATCAGAGAGAAGCTATTTCTGTACAGTTATTATTAATGCCTGCCACTGGGTCAGATTCTCCTGGGCAGAAACAGTACCGCTTTTGTCCACAGGGGCCACCAACAGTACCGCTTTTGTCCACAGGGGCCACCAAAATCAAAATGAAAGTTCCTTGTAAGTATTGACTAGAAGCTTTAACTAACTCTGCGACTTTTTAAAGTTAATCCTTCAAAAAATTTGGTTAGTTAGCTTTAAAGCTTAGTAGATAACTTTTATAAAAATGGCATTTGATTGTTGAGTCAGTGTTAGGGGTTAGAGTTAGGGACCCAAAATGTCAGTATGTGCCAACCTGGGAATGAGAGTCAACGATCAACTACCTGTCTCGGCTCTGATTGGTTGTTTTCATTCAGCCATGGTTGATTCTTGCAAATGTCATTAGGAGCACTGGGAGGAGCCAGAGGAACCAGTTAGAAGTTACCTACTGCAGCTTTAAATCCAAAATCCCAACAAAGATTAAAACTGTAACTTTGAGAATGACAGTTCTTTACCAGTTGTACTGAAATATAGTGTTTATTTGTTTCTCAGGTATCTGTGCGCTACCACATGCATCTGTACAAGACGTGGAAGAAGACCGACCAGAGAGTGCGACTGCAGATTCCCTTGCCTTCTCACACTACACATAACCAACAGACCCTGTCCATAAATACCCTTGGCAAAGCCACAAACAAAGAGACTATGGTGTAGACTGCAGTTGTAATACTGAACATACCTCAGATATAAGGAAGGATGACCCAATCCTGACATAACAGCAGAGCAGAAACCAGTGTTGGAAGACTCCTCCGAGAGCTGGAGGACTGTTACATCAGTCTCTGCAACCTCTTTTCTACCACACATGGAAACTGAGTGCCAGGAACAATGGCCCTTCCTAAGTCCCACCCCTTTTGGAACTTCTCTCCTTTCCTGTGCTACTCAGATATGCTATGTGCTCGGCTAATCTATGTTGAAAAGACTAACATTGATTTAGAAGATGGTTAAGAGATAAAAGCAACACATATATAGTCACATTTTAAGTTAGCTAATGTTAGTAAATCGCTAGCTAACCAGCTAATTAATATCATCGACATACACCAATCAGCCATAATATTATGGGCACCTGGGCCCCCTGGTGGTCAGAATATTCTGCAGCCCCATACCAACAAACTGCTCTGCACTGTGTGTTCTGACACCTTTCTATCAGAACCAGCATTAACTGTTTCTGCAGTTTGAGCTCCAGTAGCTCGTCTGTTGGATCGGACCACACGGGCCAGCCTTCACTCCCCACGTGCATCAGTGAGCCTTGGCCCCCCATGACCCTGTCTCTGGTTTACTGTTTTTTCCTTCCTTGAACCACTTTTGATAGGTACTGACCTCTGCAGACCGGGAACACCCCACAAGAGCTGCAGGTTTGGAGATGCTCTGACCCAGTCGTCTAGCCATCACAATGTGGCCCTTGTCAAAGTCACTCAAATCCTCACGCTGCCCATTTTTCCTGCTTCTAACATCAACTTTGAGGACAAATTGTTCACTTGCTGCCTGATATATCCCACCCACTGACAGGAGCCATGATAACCAGATCATGAGTGTTCACCTGTCAGTCAAAATGTTATGGCTGATCGGTGTACAAAAGATGGATGTTGTATTTCCACTTCCTCCTACTGTACAAAAATGATGCCAAAATGTCCCGGATACCTGCTGACACCTTAGTAGTGATCGGGGTTGGCTCGGCTGTCAGTCATGATGTTAAACCCCCTTTTTATATCTTTCACTAATTAAAACCAAACTTATCAGAAACACAACATACATCAGGGTCATAAGAACTACCTAAAATGACAGAAACCATTGTTGGTAAATATATGTGTTTAACTTGTACAGGTTTTCATTTGGACCATGTTCCATCTGCTAACACTGAGGCAGCACACTAACATTAGCTATCAGATGTAACTACCCAGCTAAAAAGATGTAGATTAGCTAGCTAGTTTAGCTAGCGTTTTGCAAACATTAGTTAACCTAAGATGTGACAATATATACGTCCCTTTTATCTTTTAACCATCATTCAAACAACATTCAATATGTGGTTGTCTTTTCAACATAGATTAGCCTAGCACGTAGCATATCTCAGTACAGGAAAGGAGAACGTTGACAGAGGCTCTGAACAAGGCCTGCTCAACTGAGGACATGTTCAATCATTTTTCACAGAGACAATCAACATCATCATTTCCAGGAAAAGACAATGAAGCGTTCTGGACTAATCAAGGTATTTTCACGCCTCATGGAATAAGATCAAGATGACCAATTGATGACAATCATATCTCCTCATCAGCTGAGCTTAACAGAGAATCGGTAGGTTGTAACATATCCGTCTCTGAGATTCAAATATAACAGAGGTGAATGGGATTTTGTTTGTAATGCTAAAGATCAATAAATACTAAAACATGACATTCAAAGAAAACGTGGAACAATGATTATACACTAATCCAGACCTCACTGTGAAGAGTTTTCATTGAATTTTTTTTATTTCAGCAAAATAAATCATGAATTAGTGACTGTTTCTGTGAGTTGCCTCTATGTGAACATATTCCAGATGGCGTGACAAAATGACACAATTGAGCGCCTGCAACTGACACATTAAGGCTTTTAATTTCCTTTTTTTTTATTTTAAATCATGGTAATAGGGAGGGGGTTGATATGTAACACAGGCACCTACCTGGAATCAAATCAAGGATGTTGTGTAATGGTGGTTGGCAGCAGGACATCAATGCTTTGTCTAAAGTTTTTAAAAGTTTAATAAAAGTTAAAAGTTAAAAATGGCAAGCACGGTTATTGACACATTTTACTCTGATTCTTGTAAAACATACATTATCTCTACCCGATACTTGATTCAGAAGTATTGCGTTATCCTGGTTGATAGGAAGAAGCCTACCATCTGTTGAGTTTTCATTGTTGGCATTCTTTACGGTAAGAAATGTGCCCAGTCACTGAATTGTTCTACCTTCTGGAGACCGCAATGCAAGACAGCGTTACTTAGTATGATCAGGCTTTCCATTAGCCTTTATCGCGTCTCTTTTTACAATATGCCATCTTTTCCACTGCAGCAAGAAGCAAAATCATTTTGCAGTCCTTCAGCTTTTATGTATATTTTCTTTTGTCTCAACTCAATGAGCTTGTGTGCAGATTGACAATACACGTAAAAAAGTGTATCGGTTGTGTTTTGTGGACTATCTTGAGAAACCAGGATGCTGTTTAAATTTTTTCTTTGATGTGAGCATCACAAGTTAAATTCCAATCATCTCCATTGCATAGTGTGAACCAGATACAATTTGGGATAAACTTTAGTATGTAGAGTCCCTATACCTTAATTATTTAGAAATATGACCAACAGTTAGATGTAGGTTGATTCCTCCACTCTAAAGCTCAAACTGCTTAAGCACCACAAAATAAATCAAATCAGACTACCTATACCATACGGAATTGCATAGCATGATATTTCTTTGCATTGTATCACATTGCGTTGATTTAATTTGTAAACCACACTGCATCCCAATAAGAGTGATTTAGTAAATGATGGTCCTATTTAGAGTAAAATAGATTATAAAGCAGGGTATGCTTTAGGGTGTGGCTACCTTGTGACTGACAGGTCATTCTCAGTGACTCTGTTCAGCTCAACACACCCAACTCCAATCAAACTGTCAAACTAGGCAGTGCTGATCAAATATGGATCCAGATTCTGTTCCTGCGTTGACCATTTCTCTCCTAAAATCGTTTCAGAAACATTTAGTGTACGGTTTATCTTGAATACAGTGTTAATTTCGTTGACGAAGACTGATGAAAAATATTCGTCAACGAACCTTTTTCACGAATGAAAACTAAATAAAAACTAAATAGAAAGTCAGATATGATGAAGACTGTGACGAAATATAACTGACAGCGGATAAAAATGAGACGAAAATGTTAGGGAGGGACGAATGGAGAAGAGATCCAATCAGAACTACTCTTCTTGTGGGACAAGTTGGGAAGAAATCCAATCAGAGTGAATCTTTGAGGGTAGGTTGATCTATGCAGAAGCAGCAGAGGCATTTTAAAAAGCCGCGGCCAATGCAGGCGCAACAGCTAAACGAGTTTGCAGACCTTCGCACAGTTTCGAGGACGTTTTCACATCAGTTAGGTTGTTTACATTATATTTAGTTGCACAGTCTTAGTTACACAACTTTGGCTGATTTCAGTTGACTTCGCTCATTAGCAACATGCTAACGTTTTGCAGTGCACCCGGTCCGAGGGCAACGTCTCATGAACAACAGGAATGTCAGAGCTAGGTCTGGGACGAAAACAAATTGACATCTGGTCACACTTCACATATGACAACAAGGACAACAAGGCCGTCTGTAAACCGTGTGGAGCAAAAATCGCTGGGAAAAACACCGCCAACTGGAAGTGACATTTACAGACGACTCATCCAGAAATACATGTGACGGTTAGCATACACACTGAGGTTATTTTATCAGATAAACCACCGTGATTTAGTCGACTAAAGTCTGCTAATATTTGGTCTACTAAAACTAGACTAAGACTAAAAGATTTCAGATGACTAAAACTAAATGGTGTGTTATTCAAAAGACTAAAATCAGAATTTGCTGTCAAAATGAACAGTGCTGGAATATAACATGTGACCAGGCAAGCTGCCATGGTTTCCCGCTATGGACAAGTTGCCGATGAGTTCAACTCACAGTACATCACCGCTGCTAGATCCAATACACTGCCATGGCTACCAGAATGCCAAATTTGAGGCATCAGTAAAAGTAAAGCAGAATTTACTTAAAAAAAAAAAAAAAAAAAAAAAGTTAATTTGGGTGAACCAACCCTTAGAAAATTCTATCCATAACTTAAGGGTTGTAACATGACAAGTCACTGAACTCTTCAATGAAACTTCATGAGCACCTTCATGCCCACTGTTGCATTTGTTTTAATAAACAATCCTTAATACTTCCAGCCAGGTGTCTGACTAAACTGTATTTATAACTTTATTATTCCAACAGTTTTATTTCTCTCACACACACACACACACACACACACACACTTAAATGAGGTCAAATCAAGGCAAAGCTCATATCTTGTGCAATTAGAACGATGAAACAGCTGAGGAATACTGAGGTTCATACTGTTGCTCATACTGTTGCTCTAAGGCGTCTGGGATCTTTAGTCACACCAACAGATCAGTGTCCTACTGTAGAGAGTGGACATTGTTGAATGAGAATTCTGGAACCAGATAGCGGCAGACTCCTGAGGCCAGAGCCGGTCCAGCTTTTCCAGGTAGACGTAGGGAACTGCAGGAGACGAGCAACAGATCACATGACGGTACAGCTCGCTTCCTTAGATAGATCCTGAAAAATAAACGGCAGCGTTATCTCATTTAATCCTCATGAGACAAGCGCTGTTGGGTTAGCATTGAGCATGCAGTTGGGGGAAGGTATGGCAGATGAGTCTGGAGCAGGGTGTCAGGTGATTGCAACAAGTCACTTTTCAGTGTACTGTTGCATATGCCAACTGTACGAGCTGGTGCCACTAGCTAGTTAGCAGCCCTATTAGCTGAATGTGAGCTAGAATTACGAGGGGAGGTTTATTTACGCCACTAGCATAGGAGCTTTGGACTGCCGGAAGGAGGAGGTTTTCCAGGCAGGGACAGGGCACCCAGCAATGCTTCCAGGGGAATGGGGCTGGAACGAGCCCTAGTGGGCAAGTGGGCTAAGCAGCCTCCCAGTGACCACGGCTGCCTCAGAGACAGAACAGACAGAGGCCAGGCAATTTACAGCGGCTCCGACCAGGACTCTGACCCCGAGGACAATGAAGACACAGTGGTTTAATGCGTCACAAAACATGTATTAGGCAAGCCATGCATCTTGTAACTAGTGCTCAGAGCTGTTAACACCAGGTACAAGCAGACGGGAAAAGCTGCATCCCCTTCCTCACCTACTGTACAGCATGTCATCTGCACTCAAGAGACAGAACAACACTTCTTCTTCTTCCTCTTTGGCTTCAGTGCGGGCAGGAAAAAAAGGGATGTCAGGTTTTAAATACTAAAGCATTTGTGCTTGTATCTGTAAAACGCCTTACACTTCATACTGACGTTATGGAACTGTTTGGCATTTACCTGCTGTCTCCGGAAGTGCTGGATGTCGCTGCCTGCGACAAAGTCTTCATCAAACTCCAGTTCAGTTTCCTCATCACCTCTGCTCTGCATACACACCCTGCGCTCGGCTACCTCCTGAAAAGGGATCACATTACTCCTATGGTGAGTTACATCCATCAACATTGTAAGATAGCAGAGACAAAAAGATTAGGTACCCTGAACAAACACTTCATCCATAAATCATTGACGACTCATTTATAAAAAGGTTAATGCTACTTGTTGGTGGTTTTATTTAAAAAAGGAAATTAAAATCAAAAAGTCCTTAAACTATACAGATTTAGACTGCAGTGATTGTGTACAGCAGCTTTCTGGGAGTTTGCTTCACTTACCTCGTGGCTGGAGTTCAAAAGGATCACCCTAACATCAGTGACGGGGCCCCAGCTTCTGTGGCCCTGCAGAATCAGGTCTGCAGAATCAGCTTCTGCCTCCGAACCTGCTGCCCAAATCTGACAAACACGTTAAGGCCATTAAAATAGTCACCAAATCTCGTTTTCCCACCTAATGATCTTCTCAAGAAAGTGTTATGCAGGGGAAGTGAGAGAAATACATTTAAACATAACATTAACTACTCACTGTGAGTGTCTGCCCACCAGCCAGGATGCAGGAGGAGGGGATGTGGAAGGAGATGTCTCCAGAGTCTGGGTACATCCTCTGAACCACCCAACCACCCAGTGGCTGATCCTGGAAATGCAGCAATGAGAACAAGAAGCAGTTAAAATGCTGCATGTAGCTTAGAGTTCCACTGCAGACACATTTTATGTAAAAATACTGCTATGATTAATATTGTTTAACATGGTTTTTGCCACATACGCAATTTGTTACGTACCAAATCTAGCTAGGTACGTTTAAATCTCAGATTTTAGCAAAGTCAACAGGCATCTCTCCTTCAGTAGAGGAATGTGGAAATGCCTCTGTAGTGACAAACTTTGCACAGATACAAGTTAGTAAAGTCTTGGTTTGGCAATTTAGGCCATGCTTTCCTTTACTGAAGATAAACTCCAGAGGTCTCTACTGTCTGGGAGCTGTGTACTGTCTGGGTGCTGCACCGAGCTTTCATAGTCGAGTTCCGTAAATGGCAGTGACGTTAAGAGTTAATTAGTAGCATCTGAACAAATTCTGATTTGTAGAAGAAAAATTGTGATTTCAATGTCATCAATTTTTCCCCTCTACCCCTGGGAAAAAAAAAAAAAAAAAAAAGGGTCAACAATCGAAGCAGGAAAGTCAGGGATATCCTGACTTAGTCTTTAGTATGGCTTAAGCTCCTGACATAACCCTGATGACATTATGACGTCCTCAAGGCCATTTTCTTGACGAAGCCCCTCTTTGTCCACAACTGTGCCACGATAAAGTGAAACTGGGACATTCAACCTCAAAAAATACAAATGAAGACAAGCCCCCCCAACTAAACAGCCTTACCATTTCAGAGTTGTTCTTCAGTCGAACATATTTCCCATCCATGTCGACCTCTGCCACGCTGACAGCACCGTGCTCTGTTGAACGGCTGGACATTTTATAGGCGGGCGAGCTGCCAGAGGTGCCCTCATGTTTCCGTTTCCTCCCTCTGAGCTTTCGGCTGCTGTGTTCATGTGTTCGAGGTATGGCCGTACGCTGGGATGGGCTCGGTGACAGCTGCAGTCTGAGAGGAAAAATCCCATTTAGATAAACAAACAAACAAACAAACAAACAAACAAACAAACAGGAAGTAAAAGCACCAGACAGTGATCCACGTACATCCTTTGTTTTGATTTATAAAAGCAGACCATAAAATGGATGAAGCCTTGCTCAGCTGTAGCTGAGGCACATAGATCGCAGCCATACCTCTGTTCCTCCACCTCCAGCATCTTCCTGTAGGCATTGATCTCCATGTCCAAAGCCAACTTGACATCCAGCAGGTTCTCATAGTCTTCCAGCTGGCTGTACATCTGGCTTCTCATGCTCAGCAGCTCCTGCTCCTTCTGATACAGTTTCTGCTGCCAAACCTCCCGTTCCCTGTCAAGAGTCCTCTCCAGCTCCTGGAAGCGGCCCTCCAGCACCATTTTCTGACAGAGTAAGAATACAAATGCTGAATACATCCATCCATCCATCCATATCTATATCTATATATCTATATATCTATATATCTATATCTATATCTATATATATATATATATATACACACACACACACACATAAAAATAAAAAATGGAGATTGTAGTCTAAAATTACATTATGCATGCCTAGTAAGTTTTCAAATTGCTCGGAAAGTGATCCAACAATATTGGTCGCCACTGTTCTTAGTGTGGATGGCCCTTAAATGTTATTAGTGTGGGGATTTAATTTATTTCGATATGTTTCCATTCACATACCCTACAAAAGGCAAACACTTTCGTCTTATCCATTATGTTCTGTTGCTGAATGGGAACCCAAATTGTTCCCATACTGATTTAAAGGATGCAGTAGGGTAGTGAACGTCAACTGGCACATCCAGCCCACCAGAGATTTCCATCTGGCCCCCAGAATATTACTGAATTCAGGAATAGCCTAGTGAAGAGGAAAAAAGTATGTTTCTATATTTATTTATTTTTAAATCAAATTCAATTTTATATATTTGTATAGCGCCAATTCACTTAAAGAAACGCCCTCTGAAAAGTAGCTTGTGCCATAGCCTGCCTTCAATCAAAAATGACGATAAACTTGTTGCTCTCATTTAACATCTTTTATTGTTTCACATGCTAATTTTATCTAAAGTCGTTTTTCCACAAATGTCAAAACTGTCCTTGCTTGGGCTTTGCACACAATTGCGGTGTCTCATTAACCCTCTGCCAAAACATGGACACGGTGAACAACAGTTTTAGCAGACAGAGGTATCCGCTTAACAGACAATTATCCTGTCCATGGATTTGTCAGTGGCAAGTTCCTCCAGAACAGCCACCATGCACTCCTTGAAAACCTCAGCATCGGTAAATGCTTGTTACACTTGGAGAGTACCCAGGCAGCCTGTAGAGACGCACTTGTTGCCCTCTCTTGTTCAGTTGAAGTTCGGTTAATAATTCTGCTGGCATGGGAGTACTGAGATTTCAAAGCAGCAACTTTTCTCTAACGGGTCTCTGACTGTTCAGGATACGACTCCTTTGTGTTGTGGTGACGCCTCAGATTATATTCTTTAGCTTTAGTTTCGTTGCAAATGAGGCACACAGGTACGGCATTTCTAAAAGTTGGTACTATAATACATACTTATCAGTCCATTCTTCATTAAAGCTGTGGTTCTCTGCATCAACTTTCTGCTTAAGGCTCTTCGAGAGTGCCATTTTTCATGCTTGAAACATATTCAGATGGCCTTTCTCCTGCCAGTGTTCTCCACAAACTAAGACACTGCATGTGACAGTGATGGACAGCTTGACAGCCTCACAAATATGAAGCCTAAAATATCGCTATCGCCCCCTGGTGGCTTGCTGCAGTACAGGTAATATGAGCCTGTTAACACTGACAGAGGCAAAAAAAAAAAAAATTATTATATATATATATATATATATATATATATATATATATATATATATATATATATATATATATATATATGATGTGAAGTTTGGTCCCACATTACGTGCATCAATCTACATACATCTACATGTAGTCTGTGTGCATTGGATCATGACTCCCATCCTACCAACTAGTACAGTTGTGTAAATCTCATTGGTCTATTGTGTCTCCATCCGGCAGGAACAGCAACTGCAACACCAGACCTTTGAATAGCTGAACAAATCGGAGATGTGGTTGCTGACTCTGGAAGGACACTGCAAACATGGCTTTTTGGGACTTCAAAATTCTATATACCGGATCCCGTTTTGTTCACAGATCTCGTCAAGTTTTGCTACAGACTGCACTTACATCTTTCTGGTACTGCTGGAGCTGGGAGCTGAGGGACTCCACTCTCAGCTTGGAGTTTTCTAGTTCGTCTTTGGTGGCAGATGCTACGTCATTTTTCTCCAACGCAGCCTGCTGGGCATTCTGTAACTATAGCACAGAAAGAATTCAATGCAAACATGACAAATTTTTCTGTTTGTACTTTTGAACTAAAGGTCCATTCATCTTGAGTTCTGGGTTTGTACCTTTGAACTGAAGGTCCTGTCCATCTCGTCTTTGTACTGCTGCAGCTGAGACTCGTGATCCTGACGGAGCTGCTGCATCGTCTCAGCCAGTTTGCTCTCAAACTCTCTCCTCCGTCCGGATTCCACCTCCACTAGGCGGCTCTCGTGTCGGCTTCGGATCTCAAAGATCTCCTACAAAACATAAAACAACAATTTTAACAATACAGAAAAAAAAAAAAAAAAAGAAATGATCACACTCAGCTGGAAATCTTGACTTAAACCAAGTCTTTTCTTTCTATGGGGCATGCCACTGTGTGTCCACTGTGTGTGATGTACCTGCTCGCTGATGTTCCTCTGGAGTTCGAGCTGCTCTTTCAGTGTTTGCACCTGGTTCTCCATTTCCACCCTCCTCAGGATCTCAGAGGTCAGCTGGTTCTTTGTGTCTGCCAGTACACCCTCTACCTGGTGACCCCACACACACACACACACACAGAGTTAAAACATACAGTAACACCCAACACAATCCCAATACTGGCTTCATCTTGCTGTAAAAGTGGAAAAATTAAACCCTTCTCCACGGCATTTCTTGTTTTGTGATAATTAAGACCAAGTCAATAACTATAGCCACTTCATTATAGAGGGAAATACTACTGTATTTACCACACTACAGTTATCACAGCTTCTTTGAAAATATGTTTTACACAATTTTCAATATAGACAAAATCATAACAAATGAGTTTAAACCAACAACCACTACCTACAGCAGTAATAAAGGGTTAATTTAGCAGCTCAACACTAACACAGTAACTCTGCAGTCATGCTAGTGCGGCTGTACTAATGTCAAAAACACAAACATGCTGCTGTTTAGCATACCATTTTCATCATCTTGATTCAACATGTTAGCATGCTAACTTCTGCTAATTTAACACAAAGTGCAGCTGAGGCTGATGGGAATGCGTCAGTGTCGGCAGAATTCATCCTCAGGGAAACACGAACGTCTGTCCAAACGTTCATGCCAATCCATCCAACACAGAGTGGTGGGCTGAGGACATTCCATCTGTAGAGCCACCCTGCTAGTGTGGCTAAAAATAACCCTCCCAACACTTGTACAGCTCACCAACACATTAGATATCTAATTTGTTTAAGCCACGACAAACTGTCATTTTTACATTTTTCTTTGTGTACGGGTTACACAAACTAAGTACAATGTGTTCATTCGTGAGCTTCGGCGATGCCAGTGTTATTTCAAAGTCTGTTACCTTGACACTATGAGTTTCTCCTTACTTTAAAAGCTGCAGTAGGTAACTATTATAAAAAAGATTTCTTATCTGCTGAAACTTTCACTCTATCCTGACAGTAGAACACGAGACAGGTAATGTGTGAAACAATCAGGTTCCTCTGGCTCCTCCTAGAGCTCCTGATGGTATTTGTAAGAATCCTGAACGATTATCTGTCTCATGTTCTACTGTCAGGATAGAGTGAAAGTTTCAGCAAATATAACAAGAGTTATCCTTTATTTTTTATTTTATTTTAACCTTGCAATGGTTAAGAGATGACTCCACCCTTACCCCGACCTCAAACACTTCTCTGCTATGGTAACCATTCAGCTCTAGCCATAACTCTAGTGGGGACCACTACGACACTTTGGACAGACTTACTGCAGGTGGGTTTTCTCATTTTTAAAAAAAAAAAACAGCCAGGCTAGCAGTTTGACTGATTCCAGTCTTTAAGCTAGTTTTTTCTTCCTCCATTAGTGCAAATTAGCTTGCCTATCAACATAATCCAACTTGTTAAAACAGAAGATTTTGTGATCACACTAATACTGCTACTGGTAACTAAACAATGAAACCTCCAGTTAGCCTCGTATATGCCCTAGCATGTGTACATTTAGTTTTAGCTCATACATTTTTCAGCTGGTCCTGGAGGTCAGTGAAGTCATCATCTAGTCTCCTGTTTTCAGACAGCAGCTTTGTGTACTCAACATCCTTGGAGCTCAGAGCCGCCTCAAACTTCCTCCACTGGGCCAACGCATTTACCAGATCACTCTCCTTCTTCTGGTTCCTGAGGCAGGAGAACAATCTTCATTGTGTGCACCATAGAAGACATTTTCTCTTACATCACGCCAAACTTCATTCAAATATCTGCACTTCTCAGTTTAGTTTAACATACTTCCATTATTAGTTATAATCCTATCCACGATATATTTCAACCTACAATTCCACTATTACAGAAAGATAGATGAAGTTAGACTTCTGACAGAAAGTCCATATTTTGTTTTCCATCTAACATACAGGGGAGGGTCTGGATAAACGCTCATGTTGTGGCATGGATATATGTGTTAAAGGTCCAGTGTGTAGGATTTAGTGGCATCTAGTGATGTAGTTGCAGATCGCAACTCAGTCGTTTCACCCTCCCCTTCCACGCACAAAAAACTTGAATGCCACTATCTAGAGCCAGTGTTTGGTATGTCCCTTTTGGGCTACTGTAGAAACATGGCGGTTCAACATGGCCGGCTCCATGGAAGGCGATTTGTGGAGTCCGAATAGAACAGCTCATTCTAAGGAAAGAAAAACACGATTCCTATATTCAGGTGATTATACACTAATGAAAAACACAGCCATGAATAATATATTCCATTTCTGACAATAGATCCTGGACCTTTAACTTGTGTCTTTGTAACATCTTATTTATTGAACTAAATATAAATTCAATTTTGACACCAAACTGGGCAGGTAGGTTTTTTTTTTTTTTTTTTTAAAAAGAGTTGGCATACCACCACTAGATCCGCCCCTGCTTAAATACAGAAAATTAAAGAATTACAATTGCCAACAAGAGCTGCTTTAAGTGAATTTCAAACCAAACTCAATTGAATGTTTCCTTGTCTGCCAACATGTATACACAATATTATTGTTGTTATTCACTAGTTAATTAGGAGTATTTGATAAGTTCGGATACTGTATGATTGAGGCTTAAATAAAATTTACTTTTTACAGAACTTTTGGCCCCCATCTCAGGGGCCAGTGGGGAGCTGTGTGAAACAGCTATAAAAAGTAGGAATGTTACGGACATACCTGCTGCTTGGTGCATTGAATTCTCCCCGAATAACACACCGGTACTCAAGAATTTCTAGAAGTGTCTCAATTTGTGTTCTGCGGATGTGTGCGTCTAACGCCAAGCAACACTGCATTAAATACGCTGATTTTTAAGCGGAGTCTGGCGTACCTGCACGGTCGCGTATGGCTACATCCTAACACTACTACCTGGCTTGAAGTTTCCTGTATTCGTCGCAGACATTTCCATAGTCGATCTGCAGACGGGCCCTCTCTCCGGCCAGGCCGTCCAGGGACTTTCTGACATCGGCCAACTCCTCTTCGTACAGCCGCCGCACGTTGCCCATCTCCCGGCTCTTTGACTCGTCCTTTTCCTCCAGCTGCATCAGCATGGAAGACCGTTCACTTTCCAACTCCTGGACCCGCTGGATGTAGTTGGCGAGGCGGTCGTTGAGGTGTCGGAGGTCATCTTTCTCCTGGAGGCGGGACAGACAGGTCGGGCTGGTGCTGGATGTAGGCAGGCCGGTGGCTGCGCTGCGGCGGCCGGCGGAGCGGCTGGAGCGGCCGCCCGGGCCGGCAGGGGTGGAGGTGGCCGAGGCCATGGTGGTGGTGGTGGGCTGGACGTTCCTGTAGGCAGGGTCCACAAGTGATCCGGATAGTTTAATCGATTCAAAAAGGCATATACAAAACTATGGGCCGCAGTAAGATACACCCATCCGAACGAACACAAGCGATGGATGCAATAATGTTTAAAAGGAATAAAAGTCACATTGAAGCGCTCCGGTAAATTCACAGATCATCGCCGCAAACGGACAGCCCGGATCTGCTGCCTTCTACCCGTTAAGTGTCCTTTTTCCTGAATTAAAGATGTCCACAGCTGAAATGAATCAAATTTGACGAGTTGACGCACTGAGAACAAGTGAAGTGCGCCTCAACGCAAAGTGATCCTAAATGACGCAGCACATTTCCGTGTTTGATTTTCAAAATAATACTGTAAAGTTAAAAAAACAGTGTATTTACTATGTAATCTAAGGTAAATTCAAATGTACTTTGCACAACATACTTATTGTAACAAGTAGCCTGTCATTGTCACCGCGGGTTTTATGTTAGAGTAGTGGTTTTCAAACTTTTTCACATCAAGGACCCCTGACCGGAATAGCCATACATTGTGTTATTTATGGATACAATTATAGTCAAAAATAAATTATTCCCTTTTTTCTAAAAATTTAAAATAGAATTTGTTTATAAAAGTGCTGAAACCGGAGAAGAGATGGTGGCAGATGAAATCAGAACCTATCAAAATTAATAATTAAAAATGGAACAGATAAAGTCAGTAATAACTAAGATAATGAAAGAGTGTATAGAAGAAAAGTACGTCATGCACTGAAAAGGATGAAAATGCCACTAATATTGACAAGCCGTTACGACTTTACTTTGAAGGAAAACCCTGCCAACTTCCGTTATTTTTTTGGTGTAACTCTGTGTAACTTGACAGGAGTGAGATTCCTGCAGGACATCAGCTGATAGAGATGACTGGCCGAAAGCCGGGAGCTGATGTCACTTATCACAAGACTACATTTAAAGGAAAGGGTTGTTTACACAACTTTTTGAATTCTACTCTTCACCCCGTATATTTAATGTAAAAGGTAACACATTGCGAAACAGTGTCTAAAAAAGTAAATGTGTTTATTTAAAAAAATCTGCTCATATTCTGACCCACATTTCAAATAGGTTGAATTAGAGTTAAGTTTCATTCTGGTCCAGTGTGCAACTGCTACAGTGTGATGTAAACCTGAAGCCACCAGTGCACCACTGTCATTCTTCACTGTAAACTTTACAGTGAAGTATGACAGTGGATCCCAACCTGGGGGTCAGGACCCCCGTTAGGGGTCGCCAAAGCTTCATGGGAGGTTGCCAGGGCTTCTCGATTTGAAGGCTTACTTACTTAAAAAATATACACAATAGGCCTATATCTCATCATCATATTCATTCCTGTGACAAAAATGTAACTCATTTGATTCTTTTGATCGATTATATTTTAAAAATTTGATTTCTATTTAAATACATTTTTATTTCAATCTATAAACTTTGAAGACCTGAACACAAGCTAATAATCTCAACTCTTTGGGTCCATTGTACAGTTTATCAGTTGTTCTCTGTTATGCACTGAATGTAATATAAAATAATCCTAAACTCCTCATTGAGATTAAGATCTCTTTTCCAAGAGAGGCCTGAGAACAATAGGCATACACATCACACAATAGACCAAGAATTAATAAAAACAGGTGCAAGGAGCGCTCACTCGGTAGAGCGTGCACACCATGTAGGCTTTGAATTCAACCTGCGGCCCTTTGCTGCATGTCGGTCCCCTCTCTCTCTACCTCCTTTACTGTAAATCACCAGTCCTACCTGTCTAATAGAGAGCCCCAAAATATACATAAAACAGGTTCATCACAGAAAACATTAGAAAACAAGTCTTTCAAATCTCCACTCAAGTTTAAAGACAGTTTGCAGTTCATTTCATGTCATTGATATAAAAGGGGCATTCCTGAAACCAGTTTACATCAGTGAATGCAAGAGGGATATCTAATGCAGTGGTTCCCAACCTTTTTCCCTAAAGGAGCCCTTTTCTATCATGGAGTAAACTGACTCAGTGATGATGATGGATATTTCATATTATATTCAATGCATCACAATAACAGTAGAGAACAGCTGATCACAATGAACTTGGAATGAGCTAAAAATAACAATTTCATTTAGTTTTCTTCACAGTAATGAATGAATACTGTCTGTATAGTTTTCTTACAAGCCTTAAAATGAAGATGGTCTTTTGACCCCCCATGAAACTTTGGCGACCCCTAGTGGCCTGGTTGGCAACCACTAATCTAGGGTTAGGTAGTTACTAGATTTAAATGAGAGTAGCAATGTGAGCTTATTTGGAAGCGTTAACAGTAGAGCTTTGTAAACATGATTTCTTCTTGAATGTAAAATTCATCCAACCCTTTGACACAGAGAACACTGATCGGTATGAAGTCCATCCTTTGTGATAAAACATAATGCTCAATAGCTTTACAGCTGCAGAAAAACAGACATCCTCCTAGTTCTACAGGAAGTCTAGTTTGATTTTGAATTTTTGAGTCAGATGTTGAATATGGATCTTGGAAGAGAATCTAATGTCAAGCCAAATTCCTACACTCTAAAAACAAATGTTCTGGCTAAAAAAAAAAAAAAAAAAAAAACAGTTTGCATCAATTGTTTTGAGTTATGTAAACTATTACTGCAATTATGTTCAACAAATGCACTATATTGAGTTAGGGGAATTATATTGTCCCCCTACAATCAATCAGTTTAATGAAAACAAGTTTTTAAGTTGAGGCTTCCCATAAATTAACTTGTTTCAACTAGTTTTTCCCACATTATTTATGTCAGCAAAACTCACTGAAATAATGTTTGCAACTTCAAACCTCTTTTCATTGAGCAGATATGTTTAACATACATTACATTAGTACATTCAATGCTCATTTTCAGAGTCCAAACAATTCTGCATGTGGCATTGAGGTTATTAGGAAACAAAGTAAAAGGCACACAGGGAATGTTAAAACAAAAGGACAGATTGACTAAAGAACTGTTCAAATACAAAAAATACAACTAACAAGGGGTTAGATATAAGAAACAAAAAAAATTAAATAAATAAATAAATTAAATAACAATTATGTTGATAGCAAAACAAAATGTATTGACCAGATATCCCCTCCCCTCCTTCCCCTCCTCCCTACAAGTCATTTTTGTGATTTGAATTGTCTCATTAAATGTAGTTGCATAAGTGTGGATGAAAGGGGGCGCCAGAGCTCCATCACACACACATAGTGATGCCTTGTACTGGACAGCTTCCAAGTGTGTGTGTGTGTGTGTGTGTGTGTGTGTGTGTGTGTGTGTGTGTGTGTGTGTGAACTCTCCCTCAATGATTAAATACATAATAATAATTCAGTTTGTACAATGTGGTATCCATCTATTCATATACAATATGATCTATTTACTAGCTGCTTCTAAATGGTTGTTACATTTTCTGTGTGAACAACTGGATAAAGCCTGCAGTATACTGTGTAATTGTATTATGATGCAGTCAGTTTACCATGCACGACTACAAAACCATTCTTCAATCTGCTCACAGTCTGTCCTCCATGCAGCCCTGCATACAGTGTGTACAGTGTGTTTCCATAGAGCACAGCTTTGAGGACCTTGAGGTCATCTGCTGACTGAAGCTTTTTGATGTTCTCATTAGTCAAAGTCAAAACCAGTCCCTTCATACACTGCCAGCTTCCATTCTTCACCTCATAATAAAAGCCTAGGGGTGGTGGTGTGTGTGCTGGGCCGTACTGTACACACACACCCTTTGATCCCTCTTTTGGATGGCAGGGAGCTCTGTTTGGCTGAACTATGGGAATAATCAGGGTGTGTATTGCACTCAGGTGAAGGATGGATGCTGACAGAAACCAGGCTGCTGGATGTGAAACTGGTCTGATTGGGACGCTGGAAGGCTGGAGCTTTTTGCTTACATTTTATGCATTGTCTGTACTATGTGTGTATGTGTATATGTGTATGTTTCTGTCACCCTCTGGGGAAAAAATCTAATCTATCTTCAACCCGCAGCTGTTTCAGCAAGTTTACAATGCCCCTGTAAACCTTTTCACTGTAAGATTCTGAGAGAATGATTCCATATTCATGATAGGCCTGTCGGGATTTTTTTGAATTTCATATGGGGTAATGGCGTGATATGTACAGAAATATTGAGAGAGAAAAATTCTCAGTTAAATTAAAGTTTTATTGTGTGTTTTGTCTCTTTTTGGCAAATGAATTACACTAAACTGTAATGCTGGCAACCAGTGGTAAGGTGCATTACCACATCTGTGCTGGAGTGTGAACCACACAGCGGGAATAGAGGGAAACAGATGATTCAAGATCTGGTTATGGAAGCCGTGAAAGGCAAGGGACTTGTGAAAATAAATCAAAATTTTCTTTTTCCACATCAGTTTATCGTTTAAAAATGTTTTTCCACCTGTGAAAACAAAACAAACTAAAATTTAAGCTTACAGAAGATCATCTTGAAATAAATCATTTCACCTTCTTTCACAGGATTAAAGTATTAAGTAATTTAGTAAGAAAAATGGTCATGACAAAAAACAAATTTGCCTTACAGGGCTTACATAGCCAGTGGACTATTTACACAATATTATCATATTTATATTATTAACACAATATCAATATTTCATTTTTAAATTATCATCAATATCGGTATATACTGACATGCTTAATTCATGTTATTGCCAACAAATCCCATGACAATACAGAGGAAAAATATTTAAGACTGACTCTTAAACCCACCCTGTATATATGCATTACATTAATGCACTCCTGTTTTCTGTACAGTTTTCTTGTCTTTCTTATCTTTATTTATTTATATTTTAAAAGTACTTTATTTCTTGTGGGATTTTTGTGTGATTTGTATATTTTTGTGTGATTTGTCTATTTTATGCCAGCGGCTCTCAAACTGGGGTCATAAACTGTTGATTTTTCAGGTTGATGTCAATAGAGACAACCAGTAGTAAAGGTTTGTAATGTCCATATTTATAGTCATTTGAAAATATGTCTTCCTTATAAGGCTTGAATGGCCCTACCATGTAAATATTTGTTCCTTTCCTCGAGAATGTGTTGATTTTTCAATTGTTGGTTTTATATAATCCCTCAAAGCGCTTTAGCCATGAAACTTGAAAAAGTTCAATAGGACTTTGCCAGTCTTGTTACTGTTCATTTTCTGAAAGCTTTAAGATCTGTTACTTGAAAATTAGAAATGCTGTGAGGTCAAAATGTAATCTGAATAAAAATGACCCTGTTTAAAAGTATAGAAATGGTATTAACATTTATTTATTCAAATTTAATTTGTTTAAGTTCATTTCTATGAAACTCGCCTTAAGTATTTAGGTTGAAAATTTAATTCCTACGGCATCTAGGACTACAAATGTCAGTAAACATAATGTTTAATCGGCATGAGGATTATAAGGGGGTCCTTGGAAAATGTTCTCCCCTGTAAGGCGTCCTTGGCCCCAAAAAGTTTGAGAACCCCTGGTTTATGCACCAAGACAAATTCCTCATATGTGTACAAACCTACCTGGCAATAAACCTAATTCTGATTCTGATTCTGATTCTAAGATATATCAGGCTCTGATACACACACAGTACATTGTTGGTTTGAACCTTTTCGTGGGACTTCTTGACGAGGGAAAATGTACAGGAATGCCAGACTTTTTAAGAAAAACTCTTTAGATTTGAGAATGGCCTCCATTGTAAGTTGGCTTATGATGATAATGGTGGTACGGAGTTTGATGAGTTGTTTAGAAGCAGCATGCCGTCCCTGGGAAGAAGTTTTAAAAGTACACCAAAATGTGCTTTAAGTATTAAAAATAGTCTTCATTATGCTGGCAGAATGACCCTTGTCAGTGTTCTTATATTATATATCATAATACTAATGCATACACTGTAAAAAAGAAACGTCAGGAAAGAAACTCATCATTTCAAGGCGACTGTCTTCAATACATTTTTTAAGTTTTAAGTCAAACTCAAACTTCCAGTTTTGAAAAAATCTGAAAAGAGTTTTGCCGACCAATAATCTTTTGTTGAGAAAATTAACTTTATTTCTTTAGAAAAACTTAAAGTTCAGAGTGAGCTGTGAACTGAAAACTTAAGTTTTTCTAAAACTTTTCTAAAGAAGAAAAGTAATCATTAATTATTACTAGTATAGTAGTAATAATAATATAATTATTACTACTCCTCCATAAATACTAAAGTTAGTCATGGAGTTCCACAAGGTTCTGTACTAGGACCAATACTATTTACTTTATATATGCTCCCTTTAGGCAACATTATTAGGAATCACTCCATTAACTTTCACTGTTATGCAGATGATACGCAGTTATATCTATCAATCAAACCCAATGAAATTAATCAATTATCTAAATTACAAACATGTCTTAAGGACATAAAATCCTGGATGACCTGCAATTTTCTGATGTTAAACTCAGAAAAAAACGAAATTCTTGTTCTTGGCCCCAAAAACCTTAGAGACTCATTGTCTAAAGATATAGTCACTCTAGATGGCATTAACTTGGCCTCTAGCACCACTGTCAGGAATCTTGGAGTTATCTTTGATCAGGATTTGTCATTTAACTCCCACATAAAGCAGACCTCTAGGACTGCCTTCTTTCATTTACGTAATATTAGAAAAATTAGACACATACTATCACAGACAGATGCAGAAAAACTAATCCATGCATTTGTTACTTCAAGGCTGGATTACTGCAACTCTTTATTATCAGGTTGCCCCAATAAGTCCATTAAAATGCTCCAATTAATTCAGAACGCTTCAGGAACTAGAAAAAGAGATCACATCTCTCCTGTACTAGCTTCTCTGCACTGGCTCCCTGTAAAAATTAGAATAGAATTTAAAATTCTCCTCCTCACCTATAAAGCTCTTCATGGTCAAGCCCCTTCATATCTTAAAGAGCTCATAGTACCCCATTAGCCCTCTAGAACACTACATTCTCTGAATGCTGGGCTACTTGTGGTTCCTATAGTCTCTAAAAGTAGAACAGGAGCCAGAGCCTTCAGTTACCAAGCTCCTCTCCTGTGGAACCAGCTTCCAGTTGTGGTTCGGGAGGCAGACACCCTCACCACATTCAAGAGTAGGCTTAAGACGTTCCTCTTTGATAAAGCTTATAGTTAGGGCTGGATCAGGTGAGTCCTGAACCATCCCTTAGTTATGCTGCTATAGGCCTAGACTATCGGGGGATTTCCCATGGTGCACTGAGCTACTCTCTTCCTCTCTCTTTCTGCACTCATTCATGTCCCTTTAATGCATGTTACTAACTCCACTTCTTCCCCGGAGTTCTTGTGCTTTCTCGTCTCGCAGGTTCTCATGGATCCTGGTGGAGCCTCCTGCCATGGTCCTGCTTGACTGCCATTGCCAATACTGTTGTTGCTGTGCACCTGTCTGTCTGTCTGTCTGTCTCTCTCTCTCTCTCTCTCTCTCTCTCTCTCACCCCAACTGGTCGAGACAGACGACCACCCACCTAGAGCCGGAGGATCTGTCCTAGGTTTCTGCCTTTTAACAGGCAGTTTTTCCTTGCCCTTGTCGCCAAGTGCTTGCTCATGGTGGTACTGTTGGGTCTCTGTAATTAATGTTAAAGAGTTCGGTCTAGACCTGCTCTATTTGAAAAGTGTCCTGAGATAACTTCTGTTATGAATTGGCGCTATACAAATAAAATTGAATTGAATTGAAATTGAATTAGTTTATTAAAAAACGTAAGTAAATTTGACTTGAAAAATTCATGGAGGCAGATGCCTTGAAATTATGAGTTTTCTCAGCTTTCTTATTTACAGTGCAGTAGACAGGTGTAGATAAGTTGAATGTTTTTAACATAATACATACAATATAAAATACTACTACTTATAATAATAATAATACAACAATAAAAATAAAGTTGATAAGTGGATCTTGACGTGTTTTTTATTTATGTTATGCATGTCAAAGTAGGTCTACTGTTTCCAAGGTACTTTCATGCTCTGCTTTTAACTGCTTATACTGTTGGGTAGTTCAAATATTATAATATATACAATTATATTTATATTTGATGTAAAATATGAATCTATAATGTTACTTGAGCCATCAAATAAATAGTAGTAGTTGAATCAAACGTAGAATATGTCTCTCTAAAATTCAGAGTGATGTATAGAGTAGCATCAAAAGTGCCACAAAGTTATATTTAAAGGGCCAGTTCACAGTCTGTCTTAATATTTTATAAAATGAATTTAGTTAATAATTATTAAAATTCAGGAAGGTAGGTAGGGCAGTTGGACATGCAGCTCCACACACTTCCTGGTACAGACACTGGCCCCAGGGATATTTAACTGATGGAAATGACTTTCTGCTCCTCCACACCACATGGGACAGAGGGGTTGGTCATCAGGCTGCCTACGCACAGCTGCCTCAGGCTGCCAGAGACAAGCAGGGCGCTGCTGGAAATGGGCTGATGTACCTTTCAGAATTAAGGCATATTTTAATCACACAGGAAAGTAATTGAAAATGAGATGTACACAATAAAAACGTCACAGCTGCTTGTTGGTGGAAGGTAGAGATACCAATTCAAGAACTGATCAAGGACATTATGTACACATTGATGAGCCAGAGTTTGCCAGTATCTCCCTTTTAACGGTAATTCAAACGTATATTACAATGTTCACTTGCCCTACATATGACATAAACAGAAAAGAATTAAACCTGTTGATGTATGTTAGCTGTCTTGAAACAAATATAACATTCCACTGAATAATCTAGCCCTTGATAAATTAAGTATAATACAAACAGAGGTTGTAATGGACTTCTCAGCACAATTTTGGCCTCGGCTGACAGAGCCGATGAAGATAAGAAGACGCTTTGGGTTGGTGGCTTGAAGCTAGTCAATTGTTGAGTCTCATTCCCACCCAAGGCGTTGGTATTTTAAAATCTGGGAATGAGACTCCTCAATCAACTGTCTTTCTTGGCTCTGATTGGTTGTTTTCGTTCAGGCCCGGTGGATTTTAACAAATCCCATTAGGAGCACTGGGAGGAGCCAGAGGAACCTGATTGTTTGACACATTATCTGTCTCATGTTCTACTGCCAGGATATAGTGAAAGTTTCAGCAAATATAACAAACTGTTATTTTTGTCATTTTTAAGTTACCTATTGCAGCTTTAACGTTTATCACATTGGAACAAGGGAGGCAGAGTTGTGTTGACGGAAGACTTTATCATTTTAAAACCTAAAAAAAGAGGGCAGAGTCTGTATGTGTTTTACTTTGAAAGCGATACGCGGAAGTCGTATATATTGTGTCTACATTGACTCTGGTCCCAAGTTGTGTGTCAGGCAGGCAGACAGGCTGTGCGCCGCTCCGAGCCTTGAGACACTTTACCGGAGACAGAAAGTAGCTGCCGGCGTGCAGGTCCGTGTGACAGCTCTGTGGTCTCCGTCGGTCACTTTGTGGACGTTTCCGTGTTGGACTCGGGGTGTGGACTCTGAGGGTAGGTGCTCGGTGGATTATCGGGCTGTATTTGGAGAATACCTGACGTTGCATCCCCATATGAGCGCATAGACCCACCGCCCCCTCAAAAGGTAAGGTGTTTATTTCTCCCCAAACGGACGCTCACATCAGGCTGGAAGCACCGCCATTAACCTGCTGCTGCTGCCGCCCGGTGAGGCGGCTCACTGCCGGACTCAGCCCGTCGGGTCTCGGTGCCGCTGATCCGCATGATGCCATTAACCGCCGTGGAAGCGTCGCTTTACGTTTAGAAACTTAGAAAGTCGCTGTGATCGTCACACACGCTTCGTGGTACACTTGCATACTGGAGCAGGCTCCTTATCATACTCCCTCTCATACTCCTATGATATTCCCAGGGGCTTACTGTGTGACATTGGCAGCTACAATTGAATTTGACTTGACCTGAGGGCCGTAGCTGTCTATTATTTCAATATTCATTAATAACAATTGATCATTTAATCTAAAAAATGTCAAAAATAATTCATAATATCCATCAGAATTACCCATATTTCCAAATTGATGTTTTGAAACAGAAGACATTCAATTTGCAATATTTCGAAGTATTATAATATGAATTTAAATATTATGTAATATTTTGTCTTTTTGTCTTGCAATAATCAAAACAATTTTAGAAAATCAAAGTGCCCCAGACCTTCAGGGTGCTCAGACACTGGCTCATCATGTCTGTGGTAGTTTGATTAATTGCACATTTCTTTGGTAATGCTTTATGCACCACTGCAGCAGATTCTAAACTGAAAAGATATGGATGACATAAAGTTGTGTCTTTATTGTTACATAATCTTGATGTAACAATAATCTTGTAGGAGGCCCCTGAGTTAAAAACTAGTTTTAATGGCGTTTCAAGGGGTGATTTTGTATTGCACTTCTATTTAATAGCCAAACTTGTGAGAGACAGGTTTTGAAGAAAGGTCAAAATGAACGCAGAGACATCCTGACATTTAGGCTCCGTTCACACTGCAAGCCTTAGGGCTCAACTCTGATTTATTGCTCAGATCAGATTTTTCTATTTTTTTTGGCTGGTCACATCATTTCTGATTTCTGATCTGATTTGGACCACATATGGAAGTGGCCTGAATCAGAATTGAAAAGATTCGATTCCATGTGATTTGTGCTTTTCACACTGTCATGAAAAAATCACATCATCACATATCAGCAAAAAAATCTGATCTGGGTCACTTTGGCGCGGCCTTAGTCCCTAGTATGCGTCATCCTCCAAAGATGACTTGGTGGTGGCTTCCACCCCACAAACTGGGGTTGTGGAGTGAAAAACATTGACTTTCTGTCATACACTTGTAGTCTCCAAGCCCAAGCTGTGATAAATCATGACAAATCATGCGTAGATGCAGATTATAAATCCTGATAATGCCTGGTACCACTGTTGTATCCTGTATTATGTTCTGCCTTGCTGAAATTAAGAACTGGCTGTCCAAAACTTTCCTGCAACTCAAGCTACTAACTCATCTGTTAAGGCCAGTGATGTGGCTCTAGATAGGTTAATTTCTTATCTATCCAAGCTCTGTTATACTAAGAGATGCCTCCTCCTTTCTTTTGTGGGATCCCCCAGGGGTCTATTTTGGGTCCCCTTTAATTTAATCTTTACATGCTACCCCTGGGGCAAATCATGCATACACACATGATGCGCAACTCTATGTCTTGCTAAAGCCTGGTACCACAGATGTATCCTGTATTGTGTCCTACCTCACGGAAATTTTCCTGCAGTTGAGTAATTACAATGACCCTTTCTAGCAGTGCACTAGCATTATTAATGATCTCTCATTTAGTCTGGGTGCCTTTTTAATAATGTTAAAGAAGAGGTGTTATCAACGACTCAGAGTTGTCGTTTGATGCTCAGGTGTCTAAATTGGTGCAGTCCTGCTTCATCCAACTGTGGCATTTAACCAAGATCAGGAAAAGTCATTCAGGCTTTTATCTCCTCCAGAGTCGACTATTGCAACACACTTTATTCTGGTATCAGCAGGTGAAACGTGCAAAGACTGCAGTTGATACAAAACGCTGCTGCCAGACTTCTAACACGTCCTATTGACCACATTACACCAATCCCTGTTTGGGATGCCGATAGAACCCGACTGAACATGCACGTGCTGCTAGACCGGCTACCAAAACAAAGAACAGAGAAGCTGGGATTACAGCACACACAGAGTGAGAGTGACATCATTCTCTGCTCAGGATACTCCACTATATCTTTTCATAGCTAATAGTTGTTTGCTAGTATATTGTGTATATGTTTTAAATCTCAGTATATAACCTTAACTTGACATGTTCACTTTCTGTACACAGGTAGGGGCTCACCCAGCTGTAGAGAGACCCTGACCTGGGTAAAAATCCAGACGAAGATGGAGTCATTTATCCTCTGGAAGGCTGTCCTCATCTTCCTCACATTTCCCTCTGCCCAGGTACTGAAAATGGATGGATGGATGGGTGGATGGATGGATGGATGGATGGATGGATGGATTGATTATAATTGGATAGTTGAGATGTGCTTTTACCTTCCTCATGCACAATTTTAGCCCCGCAGTGTGCTTCAAACAGAAACACTATTATGTTTTTGTCCATTCAGTGTAGATTTTAGCTTTTACCACCTGGCTCGCAGTCACGGCAGATCATCCCTTTCACCGGTGAATGAAATGAACACGGACCCAATTAGAGAAACCTTGTCAGGGTTGGCACACTGCACACCCAGCCTCGGACTTGTCACTGCAGCTGCTGTCAGCTCTGTTGCTTAATTTGATCTGACCTGTCCAAATCAAATTGTTTGTACAGGTCAAAAGGCCCCAAGGTGGTGTGGAGAGCCTGTTGGAGCTGGGGTGAATGTCACCTCTTTATATGAAGCGATACAGAGCGCAGGATTTTTCTCGGGCAAATATAGCAGCTACTTAATCCCTGACAACAGGCTGCTGTGGACCTGGTGTTCTCCACCATCAACTCAGCAAAAGGGTCTTTATTTGGAACACGTCTGTTTATATGATGTCAGTGAGAGGGAAAAAAAGCACATTGATGTTTTTAGGCTGGGTTTTATTTTGTTACTCAGTTCAGTTTGGAGAAGCAGAAATATCTGTTCTGTGTTTATTTTCGGGGGCTGGGACTCCAAACCTTGCAGTGTTCACTACTGATTTGCTTGCTGTTCTGGTGACCTGGGAATTTAAGTTTAAAGGTTTGGTCAGGAATTGGAATTGGACTGCTCATGAACACAGCCACACAAATTTCTTCTTTTTTTCACTTTTTATTGTGTGTAGTGTTTCCAAACTGGGCTTAGGTCAGGAGGAATTTTTCTTGTCAGTCCTTTTCATTATTACGCCCTATTGCTTGTAATCACTTTTATCAGTTTCAGCACATAAGACAAGGCAGATTTGTTGGGTGCTACTAAATTAACCTGGCAACAAGACTTATTTATAGTATTTGCTGCTTCCTGTTTGGTGCTGGGGCAAGCACTCCTACTTTCCGATAATATTAAACATGTTTGATTTTAAGGCTGAGAAATTTTATTTTTGATTATTATACTACGTATGAATTGGCCGGTTCTAACTTTTTTTTGTTCAAACTAGCTCAAATATTTCAAAATATCTACATTTTGTTGTCAGAAATTGGGGATGCAAAGTTTCACAGTTGCTCCTTAAAGTTTAATAGTAGGGGGCCAGCTGATGCGTTGCTCCATTGCTTCGGCACCTATGGTAGTAACTACTCATGGTGAATGCAAAACTTCAGGTACAATGATATACACTGTGTAGTGAGTTATAGCCATATTTTATTAGCACATAAAGTCAATGCATTTTGATTTGATTTGTTCAATCTAGCTGGACCTTTTTTATTTATTAATAACAACAAATTCCACTTTCACATCAGATTGCTTAACCAGCGATCAAAGCCTATTTTCTTATTTAGTTTTTATTTATTTTTTACCAGGTACAATGCACATTAATCAATATTGCAGTTTACACTTAAATGTAAATGTGCTGGAGTTTGCTTAATACCGTCAGCTAATTTTAATCCATAGTCCCTGGAAAGGTTATAAAAATGAGTGACTAATGTCATCAGTAAGGTGCTTCCACAAGTTCAACAAAACAATACAATGAAGTATAATACATACATACATTACAAAAGTAACGGAGATTGTGGGGCCAGAGATGAGATGGTAAAATTACTCATGATTGCAATTTTGGTTTGCCTGAAGTCACATCTCAAGTAGTAAGAACCTCTGCCAATCTAGCTTACACAGGTACTATAATGGCAAATGCTTTTTGATTTGACAGTGATGATAGCTAGTGTACGTGCTGTGGACTTGTGGATGGGTGGTACCTAGGGCTGTAACGGTTCTGAAACCGAGACCGAAATCGCGACACAAAAGTCCACGGTCTCGTGTCACGGATCCGAGAGACAGAACCACGACACACTCGCTCCCTGGACTGTTGAGCTCTCGTTAAGACAGTGTAACTGCGGCGGTGGCGGCGGCCCATGGGGTGGTAGCGGTGTACGCCTATATCGTATTTGTATTGACAGTAGGTTATTCTAGGTCATTTTCCACCTTATTTTACTGTTTATTTACTACTTTAATCTGCTCCCTTTCTCTTCTCCCCACACTCACACACAGCACACACACATAGCCTGGACCTCTGGTCACTCACGGCAAACACGTCGTTGTGTAATATCAGATAACATCTCTCTCTTTCTGTTTCTCTACAAAATGGGGAAACGGGGAAAACCGCGGTATGAACCGAACCGAGGCTCAAAAATCGAGGTTACACCGTTACACCCCTAGTAGTACCTATACTGTGATGTTCACCGAAGCACCTGCCCATCATTGCGGCCTCGGACCGTACAGCCCGCAGCTGCTTTTAAAAACACTTGGCTTCTTTGGGGAGCACATTTGCTGGTAGGCCGTTGTCAGGGTGGTTGCCTCGCCAGTAATGTGAAACGGCCTTTAGCATTCAGAAGATTTGTTAAACCACCTGTCGATCTGTTAATACGTTTTACTATGTTTGGGTAGCTCTGGAAAATGTCTACTATAGCTTCAACAAAACGAGAAACAGCGGTGTTTCAGCGGGGAGATTGTAGCTCTGGGCTCTCTCAACTGTTGAGTGGAGCTGTCATTTGCAGCGTGTCAGTGTTGGTGCCAGCATCTACTCAGTGTCTAAATGTGTCTAAATGTTTGCTTGACATGAGCCTGCTTTACAGAGTATTTCTGTCTGTGTGCATTTTAAATGAGCCTGCAGCTCCTCCTCTGTCCTCTGTGTTCTGCATCCTACATGACTCTTACGTGATCCGTGTTGACATGAGCCGTACATGTCAAACCCTTCAGAGGGATAAGAGGGGATAGAAGTTAGCTGAATGAAAAGACAGTGGAGTGAAGGGGTTAGACAGGTGTTTCCACCGAGGCTTTCCACCCTGCCTTCCAATTAGAGTCACACACACGCACACAGGTCTCTGATCTCACTCTAGCCCCATATCTGAGAAAAAGGCTTAATTTGTGTGCTCTATGTGTTCAGTGCATATATGTGTGTGTGGAAGCAGGTGTGTATGTACATTAGTCCCTATAGTTCATATGTGTTTGTGGGATTCTTCCAGTAGTTCCAGTGGGTCCAGTGTGTAACATTTAGGAGGCTCTATGGGCAGTAATGGAATATTATATTCCGAGGTATGTTTTTATTAGTGTATGATCACCTAAGTATCACCTAAGTATAGGAATCGTCTACCATGTTGAACCACCATGTTTCTACAGTAGCCCAGAATGGACAAACCAGGCACAGGCTGTAGATGGGGACGTTTCGCCACTGTAGTTTCTCTTAGAAACTTCCGAGCCCGTTCTCATTCCCAGGTCGTCAAGTACAGTTACTGCTGTTGTTGTGACACACTGCTCCTTAAAGCATAGTGAACTCAAAATCATTTAACATGTAAATGTCAAACGTGTAATGTCCGTGAGGTGTGTGCTTGTTTTTTGCTTCTTTAACCAGTTCTTTTGGCAAGGATTAGATATGATCATTGGATTTGACTCAACTCACCGTTTTTTGGGCATTTTGTCTGTTGGTTGGACATAGATTCTGTGAGACGCTCACCCTGGCAACAACAATAACAATGTGAGCGCGCCTCAGTGAAGGAAAAAGAAAAAAACATTGGCAAGTCTATTCTGCTTGCTGATGGAGAGCAGGATGGAGGATCAGATTCCAGTGGACCATGGGAGACTAGGGCTGTGTATTGACAAGAATCTGGCATTACGATACGTGTCATGATTCAGTATATTGTGATATACTGAATTGTAACCCCTGGGTCGTCATACATTATACAGGTTTTACGATACAATATATTATGATACTCTAAGCAAGGCGATATATTGTGATTTAATAAAACAAATCTAATTTTAGGAAAACTGTCATGGTATAAAGAACACACCACCATATGAATAAATCTGAGTTAAAAAAAGTTGACTTTTTAATGCAGCCAGAACAGTGGGATCTGCCTTTGTATTCATCCCGATCTCTGTGACATCCAACATCATAGCCCTCAGGTTACATTTACAACACTGCTATCTATTGGTTGGGGGTTTAAACGCAAAAATCCAGCAATATCACAAAATGAAATGCCGCAATATGATATTTTTCAATATTTACTAACCTACAGGACACTAAGGCATCCTCATTTCTAACTGGGACATTGCTCACCCACCAGCTGCCAAATCTAGACGTCCAAGCCCTTTTCTGTTTTCTGTGTGGACAGGGATGTAACGATACATATGAATACAATACACAATACCGTGTTTTTTCCATGGTGAATGATATTGGATGTTGAACAAGCAAAGTCAAAAGTAGATGACTCATGATTGATTTTTAGCATAGGAGTCTAGTGGGTCCTAGGGTGGTGGAGTGTGTCTCATAATGAAAAACAATTGGTGTGATCCCAGCATCCGACGATCTCATACCATCCATTCTGCCTTCCCCGGGAGTTTGGTCTTAATCTCCGTAGTGCGAATACCACCAGAGGCAGATGCTGACACAGCATAGATATAGCTGCATGGTGTTCTGTGCCTGTGTGATACTGGATTAATTTAGGGATGGGAACTGATAAAATTTTATTGATACCAATACCATTGTCGAATTCAGCTTATCGATCCAATTCTTTATTAATTTCCCTTGTGGATACCTGATAATTTCCTGTGTGAGGAAAAAAAAGTAGGCATATACAGATTTCCACATCAACGCAAGTGTTTTACATACCTGATTCTGAACACAGTGTAGAAACAGTATTGATAAAGTATTGATAAAGGAAATTATGAGCTTGGAGGCACACAATTTTGTTGGCTTGGACAATGTGGAACTGGTTCTCAACTAGAGATGGGCGATTGGACAAATATATCGGCTGATGTCGATTGGCTAGGTCCATGTTTTGTTTTTTTAGCCAATTTTTG